AGGAGTCTTGGTGAATTTCTGCAGTGCACCTTGTAGACAGGAGTCTTGGTGAATTTCTGCAGTGCACCTTGTAGACAGGAGTCTTGGTGAATTTCTGCAGTGCACCTTTTAGACAGTACAAGCTGCTGCTACTGAGTGTCAGTGGTGGTGAAGAGTGAATGAGGTACCAGTCAATTGGGTGGCTTTGTTCCAGATAGTGACAAGCTTCTTGAATGTTGTTTGAGCTGCACCATCTGTGCAAGTGGGAATTATTCCATCACATTCCTGACTTGTGCCTTGTAGGCACTTTGAGGAGTCAGGTGGTATTCTACTCACTGTCATTCCTTCATTATCACGGAATACTGCAATGTCATTCCAAATCAGGATGGTGTGTGGCTTGGAGTTGGTCACGTTTCCATGTGTGTGCTGCCCTTGTCCTTCTAGGTGGTAAAGTTGGCAGATTCAGAAAGTAAGGCTTATATAATCATACACACTATTGCTATTGTACATGGTGATGGAGGAAGTGAACGTTGATTGATGTGAAGCTACTTGAGTGCTGTTGGATCTGTACTCGTCGAGGGTAAGTGGAGAGAATTCCATCACACTTGTGACTTGTGCCCTGTAGATGGAGGACAGGCTTGGGGAGTCAGGTGGTGAGTTACTTATGGATGAACAGCCAGCCTCTGATCTGTTCCTGTAGCATGTGTTCCAGTTACATTTCTGGTCTATGGTAACGCCCAAGATGATGGCGGAAGGGTTGAGATGAAAATGCTATTGTATGTGAAGGTGACACAGTTGTTGGACACAGACTTCACTTGGGCTTTGTGTGGTGTCAATGTTACCTTACCACTTATCAGCAGGATTATTTAGCTTGACAGTAATGATTGAGTGGGAGATATGCCAGATCAGAAGGCTGTGGATTGGACAGGGATGGACACTTTTGAGCTGCTAGATCTGTTCTGGATGTATCCCATTCATGTGGATGTAACTATTTCAAATGGATTGTAGTTGTTCCATAAAGCTGCTCACCATTGTCACCTTCAGGGCAATTGGGAATGAGCAACAAATGCTGACTGCCAGTGGAACCGTATCCCATGAATGATTAAAAAATTTGTTTTGAACTGTAACCATAGCATTTGAAGTCAATAAGCAATGCAGATGAACTGAGGATATATTGTCACCTTGTCAAAACATCTATCAGAAATTGATACACAATCTCATCACATGTTGCTGTGTCAAACATCACCTCTTCATTAATTTCCCTTGTCTGTGCCTCATTAATGAATCTCAGACAATAGGAATGTATTAATCATACATGAAAACCTTTCCACAGAGGGAGCTCATTCACCACAAGCAAAGAGTAGCAAGCTCTTCAATGCAACTACATAGAGAATTTTATCACAGGCAGACAGATCCATTGATCGTGAAGGGAGTCTTCAGAAAGGTGTGGTTGTCAGCTTGGACAGAAAGCCCATTCATCACGAAGAGAACCCATTATTTGTTGCAGCCAAGGGGGTCTGCACAAGCATGCCATTGTCCGAAAAGGACAGTTTGGAATAATGCAGTCGCTTAAACACTTTAGAGATGGTGTGGCAGGCTCCTTCCTGGACCTATTTTCTTTTAGTGTATTTCTCACCAACTGATGTTTGCTCAGTGTCAAGTCACATTGATGAGCACTAAATCTTTCATATTTTCTTCCGACAGAACACAAGTTTTCTCAACTTCATCAGCCTCCAGTGAAATTGGTGAGTACACCTGTAACCCCATTTCTTAGCTATCATTTTGTATTCCTTTTGACAGGACCTCAACTACCACTAATGCACCTCAGGTACTCTGATGAATTGGCCTCCTGTTGGCGTTCCAACACCTTCAGCAGCAGAATAACATTTTGTAAGTCTCACTGTATGACTATGTTATAAGCGCTGCCAATAGCACACCTGCCCACCACGAGGCAAAACTATTCCTCTGGTACCTACTGTGGCCAAAGTACCTGCCTATCTTGTGCATCATTCATTTCAAGAAAATCTTAATGGTATCATTTAACTATGTAAATACAAAGAGCGATCTGACTTCATTTACCATTCAGCAGTCCTTACTCGTATACTAACATTATGTTCCTTCATCCCAACCTTTAGGTAATGAATGACCATCACTGCAGTCTCAACTCCAGTTGAAGCTTGTACAAGATTGTTTTTTTTTGGAGCAAGAGACGTAGTAGTTGAAAAAATTCTTTTAAATTATGCTAATGACGTGGCTTTAAGAGTTGAGATTTATAATGATGACAAACTGGAAAGCCAGCATCTATTCATTCTCAGATAACAAGGTGTAGAGCTGGATGAACACAGCAGGCCAAGCAGCATCAGAGGAGCAGGAAGGCTGACGTTTCGGGCCTAGACCCTTCTTCAGAAATTTCTCTACACCTTGTTATCTCAGATTCTCCAGCATCGGCAGTTCCTACTATCTATTCATTCTCATATTGTCATTTTTGTTCCATTAATCACAACGAGTCATCCAGGTGAACCTACTGTCAGAATCTCCGGAAAAAGCACAGAGTTTGTGTTTCAGAGGGTCACTGGAGTTGCGATGTTAACTCTTTATTTTCTCTGCACAGCTGCTGCCAGACCTGCTGAGTTTTTTGAGCAATTTCTGTTTTTGTTTCAACAGGCTGTAGTTCTTGGTTTTATTTCAGTTGTTATCTGGGTGCATGGCTTATATTAAAATTGGGGGTTCAAGTTTGTATGTTATATCTTATAAGAAACCTCTGTCAATGCTGCCGTATTTTAACTCCAATAAAAGCTGTCTTGCCAACTTACTTACTGCCTAATTAGTGTTTGACGCACCACAACAGCAGCAACCTTCCTCAGGTGTTGTATTGTGAAAAAACCGCCCCAAAAAAATGGGTTGGGTAGCTTCAAACATTTGTGTAAGAGCTGAGCCGCCCCGCTTCATAGATGGCCTGGTGGTTTAGCAGTTACCCAGGGATCTGTCACCGTTGTCAATTTACCTGCAGGTCCTGCTAGTTTTACCCTGGGTCCCATCATTGGAGGAGCAACCACTCATTCACCTCGAAGTGAGCAGCAAGTGCAAACGTGGGCCAGAAGTGGTGACTCATATTGGAATTCACAAACAAAAAGGGGCAAACAAGCTTGTGAGGTAGCAGAAATGTCTTTAATTCACCACCTGCTGGTTTGTACTTCTAATACAGAATAGTGTTCATCACTAACTAGATTTTTCAAGCATCGCTTCTTAAATATTATTTCTATGATACAAATATTACAGTCATCACCAAGTCTATGTAACAAGAGAAGATTGTTTTTACAGTCATTTGATGAAGATGGGGCTGTCTCTCCCTTTGCAACGCTTTCTCCGAGGCTGGACAACATCATCGTCATCATCCTCCGAGTCAATGTTGACCTTTGGGCTCTCGCCGTCCACTTTGGCGGGCGGCAGGACTGGGAAAGTCCTGTCTGGAAACAGCGCCATCAGCTTCGACTCAAAGATTTGCTCCAACGTCTTACCAGCATGAGCCACCTCTGAATCCGGCTGCAAGAAAACCAAAACACGTGGTATAATCTATAACCATGGCACACCTTTTCCCCACGTGCACTGGGCCAGTCACGACCTCCACCAGTTCCTCGAAGGCACCAAGATCTCTACTGTTCAACAAGCTCTGTAGTTGCTGTTATGCCATTTCAGATTATGGAAGGAGGCTAAAGGGGGAGTTTGGATGCAGACTGAATTCAGCAAGTTCCACTCTGGTTATGTGAATAGATTCCCTTCAAAATATTTGAGGGGATATGATAGAGATCCTCAAAAGCACAAGGGGTTTGGCCAGGGAAAATGGACAGAATCTTTACCCCATTAGGTGAAGGGTCAAGCACCAGAAGACATCAAAAGGTGACGTTAAAAAAAAAAGCAATTTGAAAATACAAGTAGATTTGGAATGTACCAGCAGCATTTGAAGGAAGCACAATCTTCCAAATCTCTGAGAATTAGGAGGAAATAGTTGCAGGGTTAGGAGAGGAACACAGGGGAGTGGGACCAGCTTGATCAACCTGAAATAACATCCAATTGCATTCAGAAGCATTGCAACTCATTGGCCTTGGGGAAAAATGGGCACAGCTAAGGTAGGGAGATGCTACAGACCAAAGTTAAAAATCTGATGCCATGTGGCAGGATATGTTTACAGCAACATCTGGGAACAGAGTCATCAGCTTCACCCCATGGTACTATTGAGTACATAATCTAGGCCACACCTCCAGTGGCACACTGTGACAATGCCAACAGTTACCAGTTACTGCATAAGATACTAACGGGTCCTTGACCTGTTTCAGAATTACAGCTATCTGAACGGGACAGAGTGGTGTAAATTCCAGCTGCAGCACTTTGATAACTTGTGATGTAAAAGGTACATTGCAAGTGAATACCCTTTTCTTTATACCTGCAAACTACTTAAGATCTGTATTGCAATCTCAAACCAGTCAGTCAATAACTGCTGGACCCAAATGAATAATGTATCAAGGAAACAGGTCATTTTTGATCGAGTATTGTGCAAGGACAGGTTGGTTAGTAATTTTAAAGTATAATTAAAGTACCCTCTGGGGAACAGTAATCAAAATGATATAATTTCATATTGAGTTTGACATTGATATAGTTGAGGCTAAAACTAAGGTCTTATGTTCAAATAAAACCAATTATGTTGCTAAGTACTAGTTGGACAAAGTAGACCAGGCATTTTGGTTGGAATTTATGGCAGCACTAATAGAGAACATTTGGAAAAAAAAATACTCCATTCTCAACAAACATGTATTGGTGTTGGGGAATAAACATCTTCAAAAAGAAAGTCCTCAAACAGGGGTGTTGCAGATGTTTAAAGCGAGAGACGTAAAAGATATTGCTTCAGGAAAATCATTGCAGCAGCACAGTCAGGAATTATATGTCAGTCACATCAGGACTTCTGCAAATTCCTAAGTTCAGAGGGAGTCAGAGGAATTAAAACCTAAACTTCTGATATAAACTGACCCTGACTACCCTCCGCGCGCACCACCCCCCCCCCTTCTCCAACTCCCCACCTCTGCTACTAACCGCCATGCTCCACAACCAGCCCATCTTTCTAAACTGCCTCCTCCCCAAAGCGACCTGGCCCAACCTTATTTTGTATCTGCCATCAGAGCAGAAGAAGGCACAAAACAACACTACCAGAAACAAAGTCTAATGAGAATGAGAAACTTTACATGTTTAATGTTAGTAAAGGAAACAGTCCTGGAAAAACTAATGGGACTAAAAACCAGTGAGGTCTTGAACCCAGCAGCTTCCACCATAGGGTTTTAAAACAAGTGAAAGCAGATAGAGTGGATACTTTGGTTTAGTTACTTCAGAATTGCTTAGATTCCAGTGTGGTCCCTGGCAGATTGGAAGGCAGCAAACATAGCCCTGTTAATTCAGAAAGAGACAGGGAGAGAGAAAACAGGGAACTATAGGGCAGAACAACAGTAACTCTCACTTGTTCAGCATCTTTAAAATAATAATAAAAAAAAATCCCTGATGCTTCCAAGGAGTTCAATCAAATAAACTCATATGTCAAACCACAGAGCTCATCCAATAATCAATAGCAGGCAAAACATTTATTAAAGCAGGGACGTGACCAACAGTGCATTACAAAATCCGTGCCACATTCCCTCCTGGAGTGGAAGTTGGTTATCCTTACCGTTGCAGGGCTGCCAAAGAAGACAGTGACAAAAACCACAACAAGTGGGCAGAACCGATAGTTTTATGAAAAGGCAATTGTGAGACATCTATTAATGACGGAGGCCGTTGACTTCCAGGGTACACAAGAAACTAGCAGCTGGGATATACTGGAGGCATTTGAAATGGTTCACAGAAGAGGTCATTGCGCAAGGTTAGGAGTAGGGAGGTAGCTGAGGGAGGTAAGGGGTGGGCAGGGTTCAGGTATGAGCACGTATTTACCCGTGCCCCCGTTCCAATCACTAATCAAGCCTGGCTCTGCCCCACTCTGCCAATTTAGGTTTCTAATCAGCATGTGCAATCCTACTGACCAGAGACTGTAGGCTGTATTATTGATGTTACCTCATTGAATTCCTCACAATTCTTAAAGATCAGCCTGACATCGGCCACAAACTCCTCAGCCGTGTGATAGTGCTGTGTGTGTTGTTTCTGCAGTTTAATTTTCACAGTGCACATGTCCATTGGCTTCTTTATAATCTTGTAGTAGTCAGGAACCTGCAAGAGACAGAGGAGCCTTCTTGAGATCTCAGTGGGATTAATGGCAGTAGGACACACAGACAGTGATAGCAGTAGCCAAGTGGTCCCAGACTGGCAGACAAGAGGGTGACTCATCATCTACAGCATTCCCTATCCTTCAATCCAGTCCCCCCTAACGTGGGATTCCAGCCTCAACCCAACATGGCCAGGACCTCCTGCCCAGTAATAAATGCAGTTCTGCTTTAAAAATCCTGGCTAAAAATCATTCAGCAGGGTTCTCTCTTTCAACTGATACAGGCAGGGAACACACACACCACACACCCACCATCCACAGACAAATCCAACCGATCTCCTTCACCAGATTCATAAAAGCAGCCCTTGCTGAATATTGGCAAGTTGGCATGGGCCTCGCCAGTCAAATACTCTGCGCTCAGTCCTGGCTCCCACCTCATGGAAAGGCCATTGAAGGGTGAAACAGGGCAATGGCTCATGGCTGCACAGTGCACCGGCTCACCCTCAGTGATGTGGCATATTATGGCAAAAAAAAAAACAACTTACAACAGAGGCAGGAACTGGTTCTTGGAAAGCAACACTCAGTTCATCACAGTACATGGTCAGTAGCAGGTTCTCACATTTCTGAAACAGAAAAAAAAACCATCCATCACTCTTCCCAAAGAAAGATGCCATTTCCATAGCACCATTCAAGGATATCCCAATGTGCTCTATAGCCGATGAAGTATGGTTGCAATTTTAGTCATTGTTGTAATGTAGTATGGCAGCCCAATGGCACACCAGGGAATTGTGACAATGAACATGTAATCAGCTTTAACGTGCTACTGAACGATAAGTGTTACCTCAAATACCGTGAATTCACTCTTTGTTTCCTTGGGATGTATGATGTCCTACTGAAGGGACAGATGGATCCTCAAGTTAGAGTCTAGGAATCCTGAAATGAGCAACTCACCTCCTGACGCCCCAAAGCCTGTCCTCTATCTACAAGGCACACGTCAGGAGCGTGACAGAATACTCCCCACTTGCCTGGATGGGTGCAGCTTCAACAACACTCAAAAAGCTGAACACCATCCAGGACAAAGTAGTCAGTAGCAGCAGTGTGTACTGTTTAGAAGATGCACTGCAGAAATTCACCAAGGCTCCTTAGACAGCACCTTCCAAACCCATGACCACCACCATCTAGAAGGACAAAGACATCAGATACCATTTAGAAGGACAAGGGCAGCAGATGCATTAGAACACCACCACCTGCAAGTTCCCCTCAAACTCACTCACCATCCTGACTTGGAAATATGTCACTATTCCTTCAGTTTTGTTTGGTCAAAATCCTGGAATTCCCTCCCTAACAGCAGTGTGGGTGTCCCGACAGCACACGGACTGCAGCGGTTTAAGGAGGCAGCTCACCACCACCTTCTCAAGGACACCTAGAGATGGGCAATAAAATGCTGGCCCAGCCAATGACACCCACATCCCATGAGAGAATGGAAAAAAAAACACACTAACATTTAATACATCACAGGCCACTCCTAACAGTTCATCAGCTGCTCCACTCACTGGCATAGGACTTGAACACTTTCAGCATTCAGACAGAGGGCCAAAATGCTACTAATGAAGTACTTTAAATATTTGTACACCATGCATAGAGAGGGGTCAATCTATAACTGAACCACTCCCTCCTCCACTCTTCCCCTCCCAGAAGTCAGACCCAAAACAGGCAACACCACTCCCAGTTTGTTGATAACACACACAGTGCTGAAGCCACAGAGAGAGAGAAATAGAGTGACGCTTCTGAAAAGACAAGAGTAAAACGTTAAGGTGCCGAGCATCTTCTGTCATTTCTCTACCCTTGTTTCTGGTTTCCAGCATCCCTCATATCACGCATTTTGTTTTCCCTGTTTCTATAGATACTCAACATGTCACTTTTCTGATCTCTAACCTTACACACCCCCCCTCACCACCGCCATCTGCAGTTGAGATGGGTAACAAATACAGGCTGTGCCACCCATGCAATAACAGTCTGCATCTCTGACGTGGAATGCATGATGGTCTGGCTGACGGTTCCAAATGAGGACACTGACAAACTCAGGGATGTAGCTGTTAGGAGCCAGGGTTACGCCAGCATCTATACAGTGAGTGAATAAGGACCCCTCTGCAGTTGAACTAATCAGCTTGGTTGGAAGTCTCCTCTGCTACTTTCACAGCCACCACATGGGAAATTGTAGATGACCGCATGCCTGTAGCATCCAGGCAGCAGAATCTCTGTTTGGATGTTGGGCCCCAGTGAAATGTTAGTGAAACAATACTGGTTCCAGCGAGAATGAAATTCAGTAGTTGGTGCTCAAAGATGCAGGGCATGGGCTGCAGACCTTCAGAAAGAGTCCCTCAGGAGAGGAATTTCACAACCGTGCAAATAAAATTTAACAACCGATCATCAACTTTTGGTTCAACGTTCCAAAACAGCACAGGAAAGAAGAGAGATATAATCAACATTCATGTGGCACATTTCACAACTTTTGGATTCCCAAAACTGCTTGGCAGCCAAATACATACTTTTGGATAACGTACACTATTATAGTGTAGAAAATGGAGCCAGTTTGTCCATAAGGATGAGATCAATCTGATTATTGATCAGGTGACAAAGGAAAGCTCCTCTGTTCTTTAGAAAGTGCAGGAGAATTTTTTTTTTTTTTTTTTAAACATCCACCTGAGGGGTAAATAGGCTTACTATCTCATCTAAAAAGCAGTACCGCCGATAGTGTAGCACTCCTGCAGCTAAGTCAGCCTAGATTTCCACATTCAAATCTCTGGAATGGGACTCGAACCCTGACCCTTGTGACATCAGAGGCCAGAGTGCTAACCACTGAGTTACAACTGACATCACCTGACAAGATTAAACCTACATTATAGTGCCTTTTTTTTGACTCTCTTTGACTTCTCAATTTGGCAACAGGGGAGGAACACAGTCAGCGGTTTTGTTTTCCCAGAAATAGTGCGACCACCGGACATACGTACCCTTTGATCGACGGGAGCCATCTCTGGGACTGCACACACCTTCCTCTTTTCACCCACTTGCCATTGGTCTTCGCAGTCATACATCACTTCTGGGTTCACCGGGTCACGACAGAATGTGCAGATCCATTCACCGCTAAACAGAATAAATTAACCAACTCAGACTGGCGAGACTCTTGTAATATTTACAACATAGTCTGGGCTAGGGAGGCCCTTCGGTCCATCTTACCAAACAAAACTAACAGGTCTCTACAACGGAATGGAATAGCTTCTGTGCTTGTTTAAGCTTTGAGGAACCACTTTGTAGCATCTTTCACAACCTCAGTCGTGTCACAATCATTATCAAGTCAATATGAAGCATCACTGGTGTGATGTGGGAAATGCTACAGCCAATTCGAACACAACAGCAAAGTGCTAAACGGCCAGATTGCTTTTAAAAATAAAAAAAAAGTTAGGTTGATAAAGTGTAAGTATTGGCCAGGGCACTCACTTATTTGTTCCTCTTAGATCAACTTGCAATTCATTGTGCTACATTATTTGTCAGAAATAATTCATTTGTTATGAAGCATTTTTCAAAAGTGTAACTTTGTTTGTAACTGATTTTCATCAGTTGTGTGCACATAGTCAATTGTCCAGCAAAATAATGTCAAAAGACGACCCAGCCACAGACTAATAATTTTCCATTTGAACATTTCTGGTTCCTGGATTTAAATTCAATCTAATCCTCCTCCTCCATCTAATGACTGGCTCAGGGGGCTGAACATACAAAACCATTCCTAAATGAGCAATCTTGTTGCGAGAGTAACCTGCACGATGAAATGTAGGAACTGCCAAACGATTATAAAAGGTCCAAGCTCCAGCTACAACTACTTTCTATCATCTTGGCAGTTATCATCTTGCAAAGATAACTGAAGGTATTGAATTACAAAATTATCTTCTATTAATTAGAGTCTGATAGAAGGCAAGGAAGTATCCAGTATTGGACAGCCTTGCAAAGTTAAGGTCATTTGCTCCTCTTTTGTCATGTGGTTTGACACCAAACTGGAAGAAGAGAAGGAAAAGTCAAGAACTGAATACAGTTCTTGTGACCTGGAGGCAACTTACACAAAATTTTGCTATACACGATAATAATAGAATACAAGGTTTTTGACTTAATGTGACATTAAATTACAGATTAACCCATCTTTGTGCATTCTTGTCCACATACTTGAGTTTGCTCTTATTCTGGTGTTCTAACTCCAGCCACATTATGCTATTTGAGCTCAGTGATGTGCAGCTCCATGACATTAGAACATTACAGCGCAGTACAGGCCCTTCGGCCCTCGATGTTGCACTGACCTGTGAAACCAATCTGAAGCCCATCTAATTGTTGTAAGATTGCTCCAGGGTTCTGAAGTCCTGACATAACAGCTCCTCCCAAATCTGGCTCACACACTATGTTCCAAATTACTCATAAAACAATAGGGTTTTTTTTGAAGAAATCTAGTTTGCATCTGAATTAATGATTCTAGCTGCTATCACCATACTCCTAGTGAGGCTGGTTAACAACAGGTCTGTGAAAACAGAAACTATAAGACTGTAAAAGCCTACTGAACCTTCTCTGGACGGTCTCCAAAGACAATATTACTTTGGAGCCCAAACAGTATTCCAATGTGGTCAGACAGCACTTTGGAAGAGTGATAGATCAGGACACAGTTGACAGAGGGAACATAGTTAAGAGCTGGGGTAGGCCAGTTGGCCCCAGGGGCTTGCTATGCCATTTAGTAGCATCATGGCTGATCTGAATGCAAGCTGAACTTTAATTTTCTGCCTGCCTCCCATTACCCTGGACTTCATGTTGATCCCGATTCTGTCTAACGCAGGCTTGAATATATTCAATGAATCAACCTCCACTGCTCCCTAGGGAAAGGAAATGCCTTATGTTTAGGTGATGTTTAAATCTAGTTCTAATCTTTCCCGTGTAGGAAACATACATGTCTCAGTATGATTACATTTTCCTCCAAGTTCATTTGGGTATAGGATCAACCTGCTTCATCTTTTCTCACAAGATAACTCCTTCATCCCAGGAGTCGGCAGAGTGACCTTTCTGTGAATTGCTCCAAGTGCAATTATATCCTTCCTCAAACAAGCATGCAGTGTTCCAGATACTCACAAGAAAACCTTGGACATAAGCTGAAGGATCCAGTGCTTCAATTGCACTAATCCACAGCAGAAAAAGAACACAAATCAGACTAGCCACACAATTACTGAGCGCACAAGAGCAAGCTAGGAATACTGCAGCGAGTAACTCTCCTCCCGACTCCCCAGAGCCTGTCCATCATCTACAAGGCCCAAGTCAGGAGTGTGATGGAATACTCCCCACTTGCCCTGGATGGGCATGGAGGAGGAAGCGATCATTACCTTGGAAAGTTGAGGAGAGCTGGCACGTGGCAGACGAGATGAAACACTTTGGGGCACTTCTCGCAACACAGCAGGTCGCCCCCATTCTGACAGACAGCGCACCAGTCCTCGTTGGGATCATCCTCTTTCCCATGGTCTCCCCCGACCCGCGCAGGCTTGTGAGACGCCCCTGGGGTTTGGGACCCCCCATCCTGGGCGTCCCTGGGATTGGAGGAGGGGGATGCCGTGCTGTCTGGAGGGTCTGCTTTAGCCAAACCATCTCGGTGTCCAGCCGCCTGTCCATCCGACTCCAACTTACCGGGCAGGAGAGGGGTGGCGTTGTCCTGTGGATTGGTCAGCTAGGTGGAGAGAGTAAGCGAGAAAGAACAAGAGGTGTCACCACAAAACAACAGATAAAGTGATAGCAATCAGAACTGAAGCCTGCGTGATGTTTCGCACAGATAGACTAAGGAATCATCCCCCTGGGTCCCAGCACAATCCTGATCACCAGGCGGGCAGGACAGTTGAGGACAAACCTGCTTTAGAACATCCCAGTAGGGCTAACCACCCTCCATATATTAATGACGGTTTTAGTAAGGGCAGGACAACTTCTACAGTTTTAGCCAAGAACATCCACAAACAAGACAGTGAAGAAGCCTCCTAATGTAGAGATAAAGTAGAACCTACTATCATTTTACCAACTTATGACAGGACCACCAATGGAATTTTAATTCAATGTCACATTAACGGATTGTTTCATACCGTACGTAAACCCATTTTACAGAAAAAGAGTTATTTTATTTAACTAAGAACCACAGCCATGAAGGTGGTTAACATCACTGGCGTAGTCACAGAGGTCAGGCTGAAGCACTGTGGACAAGGGTTCAATTCCCATCACAGCAGTTGGAGGAGTTCAAATTCCATCAATAGTCGGAAGCTGTACGCTCGTCTCTGTATCGGTGACTTTAAAACTAATCACCAATTGTTGTAAACCATGAAGTCTGCCATCCTTATATGGTTATGACCTACATGTGACTATAATGGGTTGATCATTAGTTACCCTCTGAAACAGCCTCTCAAGGCAATAAATATCAGTGATGCCCAATGGAAAAAACATTTTAAAAAAAACTCTCTCCTGACATTCAACGTTGCACAATAACTTCCAAGTGCCCTCTGATGCAATGCAGTGGTTCATGCAGAAGACCCAAAGTATCCAGCTGTGGATGATAAATATCAGCTGTACCCAAATCCTAAGGAGGAGTTCTAAAAGCTGGCCAATTGCAGACAGGGTAATTGGTTTATCGAGTAGCGTGAGATTTGCATTCAACAGCGATCCTTGCATCATCCCAGATGTATTACCTGACTAAAGGTTTGTGTAGAAAGAATGTCAGTTGTTTTTCACAAGAGGGTAACTGATTCAAGAGCAATTGGAAGCACGTTGAGAACTCAGGTCTCCCTTGTTCATAACTTTATCTTCCTCACAAAGAAGCGTCACTGACAGAGATATTAAGTTTGCAATGGAAACTTTCTACTTTCTTCTTTACTAGCAGTGTTGCTCCACACTGCCAGGCCACTTCCAAACAACAATGCACAAATGCAACTCAAGCAAAGCAAGAGTTGGCAACCAGACAATAACTCCAAACCCCTCAAAACATATGCACAATTCCCATACTCAATAACTAAATTCTCTTCAGAGTCACATAGCTCAGATGTTACAGGATTTTGACTAACAGCATATTAGTTACACCTTCCACCACACAGACTGTAGTAGTGCAAGACGACAGCTCGCCACCATTTTCACAAGGGCAATCAGCATCAAAAAATGATGGGCTTGCCAGGAATCTCCGTATAATTGGAATGTATTATTTTAAATATAACAAATAAGTCACTTCTCAAAGGTCTCTCTCAGTAAATTAGATTTCCCTCCATCTCTCGTATTCTGCATATGAGCACTGCATTATGGTACAAGTCTTAATTTTGCAACTTCTCCTCATGAATTGATCAACAGGACTGCCACTTGGTTGCCTCAGTCCCAAAGAAGTAAGTCTACCAGTGCCCGCTGTGTGGAGTGTCTGACCTATGCTTTTACCTGTGCCAACCAGAACCCTGCCCAATCTGATGGAAACACCAAACAGTATAGCTACCTAGATTTTCAACTGAGAAACTCAGGTGCAGAGCCAAGGCTCCACAGTGAACACACCACCTAGTAATCTAGGAATGAACAGGAGATGAAGTAAAGCTGTAAGACCAACCCCACGCAGCCTGGAAGCCAGTGGGTTATAATTGGAAGGAAAGATTGAGAGACTGAAAACATTACCAAAACAGATGTTTTCCGAGCATATTTAGGCCTCGGAATTGTACTGCGTTAGTGAAGAGAAGCGAGGAACTAACTTATTTTTACTCTAGGTTTCTAAATATTATTTTTAAAACTCACTTATAAAAATGGGTCAAAATAAAATGTGAACCACTGGTGGTGGGCACAAATCAAACCCAGATTTCAACAAAGCAGCGGCAAGTCAACGTACGTACTTTGTGGAATGACAATGTTGCAGTCGAAAATCCTGATCATCCAGACCATCAAGGGGCCTCAATGTTAAAATGACCAGTTTGACTGATTCAGGGAGTGGAAAAACCCCGGGTGGAGGCAGTTGACGTATTCGGTCACTTTGACAACATGGCTAAAGCGGGAGGATGTTGATAATCTCAGCAGCTGAAGCGTAAAGGTTTGAAATGGCTCTGCTGGAAACTATTGTACGGGCACCGTCTTCAAGGGTGGAATACCGTCTTCTTCCAATCTCACAACACTTTCACTAACCACACATTCCCTTCCTGCAGCACAGTTATTTAACAAGATCATAAATGTTACAACTCGAAGCTTCGAAGTAGCCTCCTACTTCCGCCATTTACGCAAGAACTCATTTTGTGTCATGGGTTAAAACCTCGCACATTTTAGCAACACAGGCTGCATTGCCTGCTTAATCCCATTGTAAGTCAGTGATTAAAACATCAAAAGGTGGACAATTGACGTTAATTCCAAAACTGTGTATAGCATTTCTCGTGCAGACAAATGTGCTGAGGGAGCAGGCAGAGGGTTCCCTCAAAGTGAGTACAAGACTGAACAGGATTTCTGGAACTGAAAAGAAATAGGATCATCCGATATGCCAGATTGACTTGTATATTGTGTTTACCATATATAGCATCTCTGAACCAGGTCAGGGTGTTCCAGAGCACTTTACATCTAATTAAGTAAATTTTTGAAATGCATTTTGAAAGACACGGACGTAAACTAGAAATCACAGCAGTCAATTTAGTGATGCTCACTGAGGGTTAAGTATTGGCCGGGACACTGCAGAGAACTTTCCTCCTTCATATGGGGCCATGGGATCTTTTACCCAAGGGTCGACAGAGTCAGTTTGACAGCTCACCCAGTAAACGGCTGTTCTGCAGTGTGGTTTAACACAATGGCTTGGAAAGCAAGGGAAAAGTGTCATTAATCACGCCATCTTGTGTACTACCAACATTCGTGAAGCTAAGGGAAATCAGTTGGTCAGGATGCAGTGGGAAGTGGATAGCATGGCAGATGAAACTTCAGTGTGAAGAAGTGGGAGCGAGCTAAGGTAGCAATCAAAAAGGTGGAAGACAATAACATCCTGAGAACAGAAAAATGGGAGATCAAGAAACTGGAAAATGAAAAACAAGCAGAGTGGAACCAAGAAGGGAGAAAGGGGCTGGTACTCTGTTCAGCTTCAAGGACAAACAATAGGTAAGTTGCACAACACGCAGAGGGAAGTTGGCTCTCTGGTTAGATTCCAGACACTGATGAGAACAAAAACAAATCAAAGGCCCAACAAGTGTCCTCTCCCTATCCTGGTAGCCACATGGCGAACGATAAATGGAGTTGTCAACTAATTGTACCAATCAATCTCCATCATTTAATTTACAACAGATTAGACCTGAGGCAAAGGAAACTTGAAAGCTTGGGTTCAAGCCCCACCTGCTCCAGAAGTATGTAATAACACGTCAGAACAGGGTGATTACGACAATAAATAGAAAGCTTCTGGAAGCAATCGATCCAAAGTCCTGAACTCACAATTAACAACTACTTCAGATTTGGTTATAAAATTGGTCCAACAAGATATTGAAAAACTCAACATTAAAAAGGTTTAAATGGTGCAGACTGGATTTTTCCTTGTTAAAATTAAAAAAAAAAGCTCAAATTAACCTCACAAGGATCTGTATCTTCCTCCCCAGGCTCTTGTTTCACAACAATGATGGGGAAATCACAGAGGTCATCCTCATTCACGGCCTCCTGTTTGATTTTAATGGTTTCCAGGCGGACAACTGGGGTCATCTGCTGAGACTCCGGCCTCGATAACCTACTCGATGAGGTGCAACTGAAACAGAGAGAGAGAGAGAGAAAGTGTGAGTGAGAGAGACATGCTGAGGAAACAAGGAGAGGAATCTATTTAGAAGGCAGGGTTCATTTATACAGATGGCCAACACCTCACACTCACCTCCCTCTGCTACCAGTGCTGGAGGTGCTGGGTGTACGTCCTGGGACATTAACGTTGGTGACAGTCACTGACTCTAGGGTCACAAGAGAAAGAAGGTCAAGGTCTGAATGACAGACAACCCGATACAAACTCAACCCTTGCAGCCAGCAATGCACAATTAAACTGACATCAGACTTAATCGGCTGTGAGGCCATCACAATCCAACTTATCATACCCTCCCTGCAATGCCCGACATGGTGCGGTGTAAACCAGGGCAAAGCCAGGCAAATGGCTTCAATTAAATCCCATAGATTTAAGGTTGTCAAGGTCTGGTTCAGGAAACAGATCCCAGAAAGTATTGCGTGTCTCTCTCACCAACAGGAAGATTTTTTTTTTTTTTTTTTTTTTTTAATTCCTTCATGCGAACGTGGGCATTTTAAACCCACCCCTAATTACCCAGAGGGTAATTTAGAGCCACCCTTGCTGAGGGTCTGGAGTCACATGCAGACCAGGTAAGGATGGTAGATTTCCTGCCGTAAAGGGCATGACTGAACCAGATGGGTTTTTACAATAAACAACAGCGACTGACATGAAGCTAGCTAGCTATTCCAGAGATAACACAGCGTGGAGGAACACAGCAGGCCAGGCAACATCAGAGGAGCAGGAAAGTTGACGTTTTGAGGTGGGACCCTTCTTCAGAGTTTTTCTTTTAAATATTGAATTCAAAGTTCACCAGAACATTTAGCCCTGGGGTTCTAGATTACTCGTCCAGTGACCTGACCACAATTCAACAAAAGGTTCATGTAATTGCTGGCTTCAGACACCAGGGGTGCTGTCTAGGACACGGGCAGAAGGCCACCCACTGGTGCAGACTCTCTACAGAGCCTTGGCATAGTGCCCTCATCACCAAAATCAGAGTTCAACACAAGGGTGAAGGTGAAGGGTGGCATGACTGACAACAATAATTTAGTATAGTAACTGACTGCAGTTTTACCATTGGGGTCAATGACCTTCTGAACTTCACCCCTCTCCTTAATCCTCAGAAGAAAAACACAAATACCATTTTATTCAGAAATATGTTCCCATAGATATATAATTACAAATCGCAACATCACCAGTCCCATCCCATATGAAAAGGGCTGAAAATTCTTCCTGTCACCACTGCAGTTTTAGCTAAGACACTGAGCTCCATCCTGTGAATAACTTGTGGCGCTGCTTTACCTGAATGGCCAGGAGAAGGGATGGAAGGGCCAGGGGAAGGGTTGGTGCTGGTTGCTGAAGGTTTTGTTGCCACACTATTGCCGTTCCGCTCTCTGTTCAACAAGCTTTCCAGCAACACTGATCCCGCATCATCCAGCTGTATTTCCAAAGAGAAAAGGTGCACTGTTCAAACATTCCATTCCTAAATATTTCAAGTGTTTAGATTATTCAACAGTTAACAGATTGACGATGACTCTGTGGGCACCCAGGTGTAACAGACACGTGAGAAGACAGACCAAATTTGCCCTTCCAGCACTTGATCATTACCTTGTCATTTACGTTGAATGTTGTTGGTGGGATCTTGCTGTACACAGATTAGCTGCCACATTTCCAACATTACAACAGTGACTCCACTTCAAAAGGGGTCCATTGGCTGTAAAACAGCTCAAGGCGGAGATCATGAAAGGTGCTACATAAACGCAAGGCACTTTTTTTTCTTTATTCATTCACAGGGATGAGGGCGTTGCTGCCCATCCCTAATTGCCCAGAGGGCAGTTAAGAGTCAACCACATTGCTGTGGGTCTGCAGTCACATGTAGTCCAGACCAGGTAAGGATGGCAGTTTCCTTCCCTAGAGGGCATTAGTGAGCCAGATGAGTTTTTGCCAACAATAAATTTATGGCCATCATTAGACAATTAATTCAAATTCCACCATCTGCCGTGGCGGGATTCGAACCCGGGTCCCCGGAACATTATCTGGGTCTCTGGATTAACAGTCCAGTGATAATACTGTCCATCGCCTCCCCTTTCTTTTTAAGTTTTGTGTTGGTGACTTAGCCTTTCAGGAGCAGAGACAGAACAGGACTGTGCTATCAGGCATTCCTGAAAATAAGTTACGAAGAGCCAGGTCTCAGCAGCTTCCACTAAGTGATACAAATTGCACCTTGATGTGCTCTCAAAATATATGAACCACTTTCAATGCTTTAGATCCATTCACAATATGGGTCACACCGCTGAGTGCAAAATGACGATGAATGATTCAAGGAAAACAGAATGGCTTTTGTGAATTGGAAACCTGTCCAAATCAGCAGCAGGTACAGTGCGCTGCTGTTGGGACTGAATATTAGCTCGGGGAGAGAATGGTTTTTCTGCTACCATCTGTAAAGCAACTCCTCCTTCAACCTACATTCAGCAGCCCAGAACACAGAGTTTAACCTGTGAAATCGCCCACCTCGGGCCTAGTGATGGGACCCACACTGCCGTGGGGAGCCAGCACCAACTCTTTAGGAATCTGAAAATCCCAACAGTAGGAAATCACGGAATTCTCTGACCTCTCCCCCTTCCACCTACAATCTCACTTTGGCTGCAGTCGTTTACATTGGCGAGTGGAAGCATTGCATTACTAGGCCGAGGCGCGTGTGAGCAGTGTGTGCGTGCATCTAACTACATGGTCATGCAAACCAAGCCTCCGGCAGGAGAGTGTGCGCACATGCGTGCGTGTTTGTGTGTGTGGTGTAGCCTTTAAATATTGGGAAGCTTTTGGTGTGTGATAATTAGGGTGAAACATGGCAGAATTTCCTCCCTAAAATCTCTCTCCATCTCTATTCAGACATTCCATAAACCCTATTTCACCGATCAGGCTTCTATTCACTTGTCTTAACCTCTCCCAATATGCACACAGTGCCAAACTGCGTTGGTTTACTGTCCTGTGAAGCACTTTGGCAAGTTTTCTGTCAGAGGTGCTATATAAATGCAAGCTGCTCCTCCTCAGGCACTGACAAATCTTCCAAGGCACCAAAAGCACACCCAAGGTAGGACGGACTCAAGCAGTGGGCTCATTCCACACCTGCCAGCAGGTCCTGCCTGTATTTCCAGCTGGAACGGTGTTCCAACAGAAGGTGGATCATTGCCCAAGTGGCTGGCTCCTCTTTTTTTCCCCAAGACCGCACACCTCGAGGAATCCCAGAGGGAGGGCAGGCATTGTATCTTGTACTGCCTCCTGCTACTAACTCTAGCGAGCTCACGTCGTACAGACCAAAGCAGCAGTCAGTGGGGATTGCAGGGGTCACCGCTAATTTTGTGGGGAAAGGAGACACCACTCGAACACCCTACTTTCCTCCCCTTGTTGCCATCTTTGACATCTACTGAACCAAGAGAGCCTCCAGACAGAGTTTAATGTCTCACCCCTCCATGGCTCACTGTCAAGAATAGCATATGGAGTTCCTCAAGGTCTGATACAGAGGAGTGGGCTTGCAGTGCTTGTGTATTGCTGATGGTTTCAACCCGATAGACTCAAAGCAGGAACCAAGTCCCCTCAGTTTGGGGTACTCCTTTGGCATCGACACTGTAACCGACGTTAAAGTTTCCCCTTTAGATTTATTCAGCATCCACCCCCTAACCTCTCTCATCTTCCGAGTCGCACCTTGGCAAAGGGCTCGGCCCATCGTGCGTTTGTTTTTTTTTAAAACCTGAATTTGAGGTACATCGGGAAGACAGGAGAGATGCTCGGGGTTGGTAACAGCTGTCATTGGAATCGGGTGTGGAAGCCCCACTCGGAGTCACGAGGAGCATTGAAGGGTAAGAGGGGGTTGCCAAGCTGCCTACTAGGAACGGCCTCGCCATTCCAGGATTGTGCTGCTGAGAAAGACAGGGGTGGAGGGTTGTGGGAGCGCAGAAAAGGCAAAACAGTAAAATGTACAGTGACGGCCTCAAAAGTTACCCATTCACAGATTGACCGTACTCTGCTGCGCTCCCCGTGCGGCAGTCTCCCTTCAGGTCGTGCCTCAAATTCACGACCTCGACACACTCTGGTGAAGCGCCGAAGGCATGCTGCGTGGGCAGACATGCCATCCTTCAGACCAGCTGTCACACCGTTGTGCCATCTATTGGGGCGAGGACAACATTAACAATCCAGTAAAGCTAGGCCAGGAGCTCACCAGACCAACATTCCTTTCATCCAGGACATCAACCGTGACCCATCCATCAAATGACTACTGCATTGGTCTGCTTAACATTTGCACATCCTAAATAATTCAACACGTGATGAGAATTTTCAGACATGTATTCACATAAATGCAAATTCTCTTCTGTTGACAGGAAGGCTGGAATTAAGTTCCATAGTTTGGGCAAAACAAATTACATTTCATGAGGTGAAATCTCCCTTTTAAGCAATGGATTTTAAGCAATGGAATACTCTCTCTCTCCCCTTCGATTACTGGGTCTATCTCCAATGACTGCACTGTTGATTGCTGTTAATCCCTAAGCCCTGTGAATATACTTGCTGAAGAGGACGACAGTTACCTTGTTTTGTTTGACCACAGACTTCGCTTCCTGCAGTTAAACCTCTGGGTGATTTTAAGGGACAGGGTGAACAGGAGCACTCAAAACACTGCAAATGTTTAAAATGAAGCACAAGGTTTAGGAAGTCTTGCCAAAAACTGGGTTTTCGAAGAATGCTAAACTCAAATAAGCAGTGACTGCCTCTCCAGGGATCTTCCCGCGTCAGATCAGGTGAACGTGAACTCACATGGTCACTTTAACAAGAAGCACTGCATGGTGACATTATAGAAGTGCCTTTTTTTTTGTTGCCTTAGGTGTCTGAATAAGGAGCTGCTTCCACAGCAGAGGAGATCAGAAGGGAGTTTCACCCTTCTGACAGCTAGTCATTCTAAAAAAAAGTACAGATAAAAGTCTTTCACAATGTTCCTTCTCCAGATTTCCACAAACTCTGCTTTATCTATTAAAAGTGCCTGTCCATCTCTCATTTACTTCACTTCCCTGTCGGTACACAACACTTTCGCCAACATGTTCATACAAATTAAGGTTAGTCCCTTCAGCTCTTTGAGCTTGCTTCGCAGACCACAGAAAACAGGACTGGGGTCGGGGGTGGGGATGGTGCATGGTGTGGCGTTCAATGCAATTCAACATTAGAAGCAATCCATAACACAATTTAGTTCCAAGCCATTCGACCCAAGTTTCCAAAACAACAAACAAACAATTTACGTTTATACAGTACTCTTAAGATTAAAAGAATAGAAGACTGTAACCAGACAAAAATTGAGAGCATGGCGCAGCAGATATTAATTTGAACAGTAAACATTTGGAAGTTGTGTTAGGTTTCACTAAGACTGTAAGACATAGGAGCAATGGTAGACTATTCAGCCCGTTCAGACTGTGCCACCAGATTACCAAGATGGCACCAAAGCATAGCAACTCTGTGAGCTCTCTACAGCAGATCTTATTCTTACATACCTTACAACTGCTCTGTTCTTTTTGGTTCTATTATCCTAATACACTTTGTGTGGTATGGCTGCTTGCACTGCACGCAAAACAAAACTTTTCACTGTACTTAGGCACATGTGACAATAATAAATCATGATGTGGAGATGCCGGTGTTGGACTAGGGTGGACAAGGTCAGAAGTCACACAACACCAGGTTTATAGTCCAACAGGTTTACTTGCAAACACAAGCTTTCAGAGCCTCAGTCCTTCTTCAGGTAAATCGAATCAAAACAAAAAACAAAATGAATAAGATCATGGCTCAACATCTAACTACACTCTCAGCTATCCAGCCAAATGTGGATCATGCAGAAATATCCAATACAGGACGAATACAGGCAGCACTCTCTCCAGCTTCCCCTTTATTGTAACCACGCGGCTCCTCAGGGCCTTCTGCTGGCTGACTTTTCTTACCTGCCTCATTAGTGGGCTGGTTACCACATACTGCTGGGGCCCCGTCATCCTGACCGTGTTGGGAGGCATGCGCATCTGCTGGGCCGGGGGAGGCGGCACGCTGGCATTGCTCCTCTGCAGGCTCTGCAGGCTGATCAGGCGAGGTGGCTGCAGGGACTGAGCAAATAAAGGCGGAAACCGGTGAGCGCAGGCCGTGTCCCTCCTGCTGGGAAAAGTACATTCCCGACCGCTTCGAAAGAACCGTGCACAAAAACCGCTCACCCCTTCGTACAAACCTCCACCTCAAAGAAAGGTGACACTCATCATGTTTTAAAATGCTCTGCTGGTTCTCTGAGCATTGCAAGCACAGCACCTCCAATCCAGCAACCCTGGCTTTAGGTCTTCTAGGATTCTGGGCCGGGTCAAAGGTCACATGGGGCATGAGTTTGTGCCCTGCTCCAAGGTGCAGCCAATAAACTAGTGAGAGGAGCCACATTGTGCCAATGTATTACCTAGTCAGATTGCTCAGAGAAGGTACTTTGTAAATCTTTCCACTTGATTAAAATTGATCAAAAGTGTTTGAGGTTTACAAGACACTGCTCCTGTCCTTACTTGCTCAATAAATAGGTGCTGTGAAAGTGATCAAAGAACAATATTTTCAGAGGAGCACCTCCACCAAATACTACCTGGCAGCCCAGAAAATTTCCCATATCAAATCCCTGACCAAATCCAGACCAAGGTGAATACATTCGCACGTGGTAATGGTGTTTGTTTGAAGAGCCAGTGCGGATACGATGGACTGAATGGCCTCCATCTGCATTATCATAATCCTGTGACTTGCCTGGGAGTTTCTGCCCGCAGCTGCAGGCCATGGGCAGGCACAATTTCTTTCCTGTTGTCAAGGCGTGGGATTTTAACTGTTCGCTCACTGGCAGTCTGTACAACGATGCAAAGATTGGGCTGGAGATCACACGTTCTGACCGTGAAAGTCACTCATTCATGCTGGAACAGCACTGGGTGTCACAGAGAAGCACCACCACCCAAGCCTTCAGGCTGCCTTTGAAGCCATCTCAGCGAGGTGAACTCTGGGATCTATCGCGACTTAGCCAGTCCCTCGGGATAAGCACTCACCTGGCTGTTGGGAGATAGAGGCGGCTGCTGTTGGCCTAAGTGTGGGCCTGGAGGCCGAGGCTGCTGGGCGACTGGCAGGATAGGCCTCATCTGGTGCATACGCTGCTGAATCCTCTGAGCCATGACCTGTTGCTGCATGTGCTGGAGGCGAAGCTGGGCCAGGTTAATCTGGCCGTGCACCTTCGCTGTGTTACTGTCCTGGGACTGCATGGTCAGGCCTGTGGACATGTTGGGGGCACTACTAGAAGCCGGTGGATTCTTGTCCAAGACCAAAGAACCTGTTGGGAACAAAGGAGAAGGGGAGAAAAAAAAACAGTAGCCATGAGTCTTCTACGTTAGATTGGAGCACTCGCAACGGCTTCCAACTCCTCATTATTTAAAGATGGAGCAAAAAGACAGCAACAAACACCAACATCTCTGTTTGCAATCGCCATTTTAGAGCCATAAAGGAGAAGGGAAACATTAAAAATAATACCCAGTTAAATTACAAACAAGAGTAGGTCACGTGGCCCTATGAGCCTACCCGCACAATAAGATAATGGTTAATCTCATTTCTAATTTGAATTAAACAAATGATTTCCATTAATATAACTCCTGTCAGATTTGGATTTTTTTTTTCCCTTTATTCATTCACGGGATGAAGGCATTGCTGGCTAGGCAAGCATTTACTGCCCATCCCTAATTGCCCAGAGGACAGTTAAGAGCTAACCACATTGCTGTGGGTCTGGAGTCACATGTAGGCCAGACCAGGGAAGGATGGCGGTTTCCTTCCCTAAAGAACATTAGTGAATCAGATGGGTTTTTCCAACAATCAACAATGGATTCATTATTAGACTCTTCATTCCAGATTTTTTTAAAAATCTAATTCAAATTCCACCATCTGCTGTGGCAGCATTCGAACCCAGATCCCCAGAACATTACCTGCGTCTCTGGACTAACAATCCAGAAATACCACCGCTGGGCCATTGCTACCCACTTCCGATCCTGAAGCATTTCCCTACCAGTACTAGTTCATGCAGTACAATTTCAGTTACAAAACACAGTCAGTTTACGGGCACTGAGTTAAATCACTGGCTAATCTTCCCGTAGTGATGTCACACAAGAATATTAGACAAATAGCAGGTCATTCCGCTCCGTGAGTCAGCTTCACTCTGTTATTCTGCTTAACTCTCCTCATCCATCCTTTGCTCCAGTATACCCTTACCTAGCAAAAAGTCTCCCTCATTCCAATTACTCCAGCAAACCTGTTGTGTGTTTAAACATTAACCAGGTCACTGGGGAAAAAGCTCCTCTTCATTCTGTGCCATAGAATTTATGACGCCCACCTAAGAGGGCCTCCGTTTAAAGTCCCCTCAGAAAGACAGCACTTTAACAAAGCAGCATACCTGCAGAGCTAAATTGTGGTTTCTTGAAGTGGCACTCAAATCAGCCAAATCCTCCCCTCTGGATCCGTTTGTTAGCTTTCTTCTCTGGCCAGAAAGCAGTGGATAAGCATGTGTACAATTTAGCACCTCAAGCACACACCCAACACACAGACACAGTACAAACCTCACCACACAACATGCACAAGAGCTAACACTGACTCAGCAAAGAACACCTGCCAGCAGGTTTCAGCTTTGAAGTCCTGCTGGGTGAGATTAGAGAAGCCGTCACTCAGCATGACCATCCTCTGGAGTCAGAGAGCATAGAAACAGACTTTTTGGTCCAACTCATCTGTGCCAACCAAGATTCCCAAGCTGAACTTGTCCCACTTGCCTGCATTAGGCTTGGAGGGATATGGGCCTTTCTTATTCACGTACCTATCCAAATGTCTTTTAAATGTTGTAACTCCTGCATCTACCACTTCCTCTGGCAGGTCATTCCACATACAAACCGCCCCTGTGTGAAAATCTCACCCCTCAAGTCCCTTTTAAATTTTTCTCCTCTCACTTAAAAACACGCCCCCTAATTTTGAACTCCCCTACTCTAGGGAAAAGACCTTTGCCATTCATCTGTGCCCCTCACAATTTTATAAACCTCTATTAGGTCATCCCCCCCACATCACTCGCCCCGCAACTTTAGTACCATTGGAGATCATTCCCCGGCAACACCATCCTGTAAAAACAGGGTCATTAATACACAAGCAACAGGAAGTGAAAGGTGGACACGCCCGAAATGAGGACTAAATTTGTTTCAATAAATTAAACTGAAACCAAAAGAAATTCACAATGCTGCAAAACTGGGAGGTGGGAGCAGGACAGAATGGTTGCCCAGTTTCTGCTGCCTTGGCACTGATAAACACTATACCAGCTACTCACTAATACACAAATGGAGAATGCCAGGGGATTGGAGTGGGGGAATAATCACAGAAGACACTGAGAGACTGCACCCCATGGAGGGGAAAAATGTATAAAGGACATTGGTTAGGACACTTTTTGGTCTTCCTGCAGTAGGAAAGATGTTGTGAAACTTAAAAAAGGTTCAGAAAAAATTTACAAAGACGTTGCCAGGACTGGAGGGTGTGAGCTATAGGGAGAGGCTGAATAGGCTGGGGCTATTTTCTCTGGAGCCTCGGAGGCTGAGGGGTGACCTTATAAAGGTTTATGAAATCATGAGGGGCATGGATAGGGTGAATAGTCAAGGTCTTTTCCCCAGGGTAGTGGAATCCTAAACTAGAGGGCAGAGGTTTAAGGTCAGAGGGGGAAGATTTAAAAAGGACTTGAGGGCCAACATTTTCACACAGAGGGTGGTGCGTGTATGGAATGAGCTGCCAGAGGAGGTGGTGGAGGCTGGTACAGTTACAACATTTACAAGGCATCTGGATGGGTATATGAACAGGAAGGGTTTAGAGGGATATGGGCCAAATGGGACCATATTAATTTAGGATAGCTGGTCAGCATGGACGAGGTGGGTCAAAGCGTCTGTTTCTGTGCTGTACATTTCCATGGCCATACACTCATATGCCAGAGGGCTGGACTAATGATCCAGAGAATGAGAGTTCAAAACATACAACACAGGCGCTCGAGAATTCCCACTAGATACTTAAAACGTTTACTCGCAAGATTCGGAAAATGAAGTTCCCTGGCTGGGCCCTGTCTGGCAGGAGGGGTGCCTCCATTTTGCTTTTCTTACCCAAATTGAGGACATTCTTGGCCCAGAAGGTTGGGTCGCAGTGAAACCGAACGGAGCTGGTCGCGACTGGAGACGCATCACATCGGGCTCGGAGGATGTACCTCAGCTGAAAGGTGATCTGCAATCGGAGGAGGCAAGGTTTGAGTATTGCAGGCCAGTGCAGGGCGGAGGGGCATAAGTCATCGCCGAATACACGTGTGTACTGTCCCCAAACCGCACCCGCTCTCCATTTCTCACAAACCGCAGAGCAGAGCCCTGAACACACGTACTGTCAGAGTCAGTAGCCATGTAATTTGGAATCACTAGCCTGGTGATGTCACTGCTATTCCACATCAGGTTTTATTTCTCCCCCACTTATATCCCTACCATAGGTTTAATGTGGCTTTGGCTACGGTGAATACATCTACAGTATTCCTGTCTCCAGTCATTACTCAGGGACCTTCTCTGGGAGCGGCGGCAGATCCTGAGGTCTTAGGCTCAATGTTCTTCGTTTCAGACACTTGGATCACCTTACCAGTCTTTTACTGTAAAGCAAGGCGATGCTGCTCCTGTTGGAGATAGCCCACTTGGCAAAGTTCATGACATGCTCCACTTGTTTGGATACCCCAGAGATCTCCAGTTGTTGCTGGAGGAGCTTTGCTTGACGGTCTTTGGTTACACTCTGCAGGGGGAAAAAATGGCCCATTAACCAGAATTCAAAGCAGCCTGTCCCCATGGGGGATTTCTAAGGTTACTCTGGAGACAATATCCACCCACTTAATTTAAACAGTCTGGCTTCAATGTGAGAAATATTTGCTTTTGCTAACCTCAGGGCGTTCCAAAACACTTTGCAAGTGATTAACTACTTTTAAACTATTATAGAGACAAGCCAGAGTCAACTTGCGAGCAGCTTGCTCCCATAAACACAGCAATGAGAGAGTAACCAGAAATTTGGTTTTAGATTTTAGCAGAGGGATAAACATTGGCCTCGACACGAGGCTAAACTCTAGTGCCCTTCTTTGCAGGGTGTAAGGGTTCCTTTTTACAGCCACCCACGAGAATGGAGAAGGGCCCAATTTAACCTCTGTCAAAGGCTGGCACTTGCGACAAAGCAGTACTCCCTCTTTGGGAACGTCCCATTAAGTTACATGCTCAGGTCTTGGGAATGGAAGGCAGGTAGGAGACAGGACTGGGAAATTCACAGACCACACAAAAATTGACCAGACAGATGATAACAGAGGAAGATATCAATGGCTTGCCTGAATGGTCAGAAAGGTGGCAACTGGAATTCAATTTGGGAGAAGCGTGGCATTAGGCATGGTGTGTGCGCGTACGTGCGTGTGTGCAGGCAAACAAGGGAATACACAATAACAGGGAGGGTATTGAGAGGGGTATAGAAAATGCTACATCTTGGAGTAAATGTTCACAAGTCCCAGCAGGTGCAGGATAGGTAGATGAAGGAAGTAACGAAGGCATATGGAACATTTTCCTTCACCAGGCAAAGTATCAAGTACAGGAGATGGATTGCTTGAATTATACAAGACATGGATAGGCCATAGTTGGAATTGTGTACAGCTCCAGTCACATTACAGGAAGGACACATTAGAGGAAGCACGAGAGGAGATTTACAAGAATTTTACCCGGGCTTAAAAATGATAGATGTGAGGAAAGGTTGGATAGACAAGGATACTTTTTCTTAGATCAGAGGAGACTGAGTGGAGGGTTGGGGGGAATTGAGGTGCTCAAAATAATGAGGGCGTTGGATAGAGTGAACACAAAAGCTTTCATTCAGCAGACAGACTCAATTATGGGGGCACAGATTAAAGGTAGAAGGATTAGAAGGCACACAAGGAAAAGCTTGCTCACCCAAAGGGTGGGGAAGGTGTAGAGTTTGCTGCCCAGTTTGATGCAGAGGTTGAAACAAGTCTGGATCTGCTCCTGAAGCGCTGCATCCTGCAAAGCTACAGACCAGGGACTAGTAACTGGGCTTAGAAATGAGGGCTAGTTTTGTTTAGCTGGTGCAGGGATATTGGGCTGAATGGTCTCTTTCTGCCTTGGAACTTAGCTATGGTTCTAACAAACTCGAAACCCCGGAGGCAGAGAGGTTTAGGGATGGAATTCTGGGGTTTGAGATCAGGATGATCGAAATAATGACTGATGTTTGAGCCAGAGAAACTCGCGGGGACACGCAAGAGGCCAGAATCGAAAGAGTATAGGGGTCTTGGAGGACACAGAGCCAGAATACCTCCAGCTGCTGCAACAAGGCTTTCCCTTTCTTGTTGATCTCGATCATGAGCGTGAAAACGGCCACTTTTATGTCCTGCTCGACCTTCTTACAATTTTCATTGACTTCATTAATCCTGCAACACAAACATGCTCATTGATGGGCTTATATTAACAACTGTCTCTTTTAGGATGGTCCAACTGAAAATAAATTTACGAGATTTAACTACCCTCACATGTACGACGAGAGCTTGTTTTCATCCGGCCCCTTTACGGGAATAATAGCATCCCAAGGTACTGCACAGGATTAATAATGAGTTAAAAAGTAAAACAAGGGTCCTACAATTGGTAGGATCCTGCTCCCAACTGCCGATGGCGACACAAAGCGGGCAACAGCTGAGGATATTGATATAATTTGGTATTTGATATTGATATGGCCATCACTGGCAAGGCCAGCATTTATTGCCCATGACTTGACCTCAGAGGTCACTTAAGAATGAGCCACCTTGCAGAGGGTCTGGAGTCACATGGATGCCAGGTTGGGTAAGGAAGGCAGAGTTCCTTCCCAAAAGGATGGGCTTTCACAATATTTAAAACAAAAAATTGTCACGATCGCATTCCAGAGTTGTTGGTATATTCCAGTTATTTTATTACATAAATTAACTGAATGCAAATTCCCCCAGCTTTGATGTAGGATTTGAACTAGTGCTGTCAGAACATTAGCCTGGTCCTCTGACGTTACCATTGTCTCCTCATTATACCTCAGCCTGAATGCCCCGCACTCCAAAATAACGCCCCTTCAAGCAGATGGGCAGCCAGATGGAGTAGAGGCCCAGTGAGTGAGGTGTGAGCCAGAGAGCTTTGCTGAGCGAGAGGTACCTGTTCTGGATCTGAGTGGCTGCATACTGGATGTAGTTTCTTTTCTCCTGAAGTTTGGCTGTCAGCGTATCAATGATGACTTTCTGGTTCTTAAAGGCCTCTTCTAGAAACTGGTATCTGGAAATACAAACAAGGTGATTCAAAACTTGGATGGCAGCTATACTGGACTTCCTGAATAACACCAACAGTCCTTGTTCAGTTCCAGCAGACTGTACAGAAATCACATTATATGGAACAGCGAGGGCTTCGAGAGGGAATTATCTGAAAAAGGTAGAACATTCAGGGTTACAGGAAGGAGGCAGGGAAGTGGCACCAGGTGAGTTTCCAAATCAAAAAGCAAGTACAGACCCAACAAACCTGCCATTGGGTGTTGGAGCAATTCAGAGATTGTGTGCACCTTCCAGCACAGATAGAGCATTTGGCCCAATAAAACTTCTATACCCAGGACTTCAGCTGCACACCAGCCTCTTTCCAACAGACTGCATCAATTTTAATTACCACTGATTGGGATTGATCAGCGACACTCAGGTTGCAAAGTGGAGACTGCGAATTGCGGATGGGACTGGAGAGGGAGTCACGAAAGAGGTCAACATGGGTGCTGGTCCTCAATGCACTGGTGACGTGGTACTGGAGAATGTACCAAGAAGCACACCATAGCAATCCTTCCAGTACCAGCCAAAGCAGCTGAAACATGTCAGAAGGCCAGATCAACCCAGTCAAGTGGGCCCTGGCCAGGAAGGCTCTAAACAGGTCCAGGCAGCGAGCTGTGGGGGGAGTCAGATTTAACACAGTGTGGAGCTGGAGGAACACAGCAGGCCAGGCAGCATCAGAGGAGCAGGAAAGTGGACGTTTCGGGTCCCGACCTGCTGTGTTCCTCCAGCTCCACACTGTGTTATCTCTGACTCCAGCATCTGCAGTTCTTACTATCTCTGTGGGGGGGAATCATATCTCTCAACTGTCTGCCACTCTTCCACGGTTATTTTCATGCCCGGATGGCCTTAGAGAGGGAGCATGAGGTGCCCAACAATGCTCTTTATGCTTTTCGAGAGAGAGGTAGGCACCAGAGGATGCAGTGTTTTATTTCCCCCTCCAACTCCTTCTTGATTTAGCCCCATCCTGCTCTCCCTAACCCCACCACCCTTCACTCTTGATGGTTCACATTGCCCACAATGGGCTTTGCTTGTAAACATTTGATTGGCTACGTGGGTGATTTCTCGTGGTGGCTGGTAGTTTAAAATAAAACTCAAGTGGCCAAACAGCCCAGTGTGGTTCAACATTGCTTCAGAATGAGAGAGATGCTGGGGGCCATATTCAAGAGGCTTCCGAGACCTCTCCCTGATAATATTAAAATTGGATCATTGCTGCAGTCAGAACTGCACTGAAGAAACACCTTGATTTCCTTGTAAACTTATATCCCAAAGCCCCTAAACCCCACAACCCTGACTGTCCCAAGCTGTAAAGCTCCCTCTCCGTGAAAATATCCTGCCGTTGTCCAGCCCTTAACCAGCACTTCCAACAGAGATTCCAGAGCAATACACCCGGAGTGTTACCCGAAAGGTCTGGTTCAGATCATCAACTGAGATCCCGTGTCTGATTCCACATTGTAAACGTGTCAAAGCAGCCTCAGTGCAGGATGGGAACACAGAAACCCCTTAGGGGATGGAAAGGGAAACTAAAAGGCATCGATGATGCTTTTTTTTTGGGCCAGCTCAAAAATAGGCAATTTCCCAAACAGCATCCCGCCTCCAACTTTCAGTGTGGGAAAGTGGAGGGAGAGAGTATTTCCCTGTTTGGTGACATACACGCATTTCCTTTCCGAGCTCACCACAGGGGTGGATCGTCACCCAAGAATTAACACAGCACTGTGGAATGAGAGTGCGGATCATGACAGGAAAAGCCAACCACTAGAGGGTAAATCGTTCTGTTAGCCTTCATGGACACAGAGAATACAGCATAAAGGAGGCAAGAAGGGGCACACTATCAAAAAGAGGTCTTCAAAAATGTTCATTTCATTTCATTTCTAAAAGAAAAGTCAAATAATTAAAGATCCAAATGAGAAGCTATAACCTGTTGTCTGGAAATAGAAAGTACTGTACCCCAGTGTTTCACAGGGACAGACCTGTCCACACCAGTACTGTACCCCAGTGTTACACAGGGACAGATCCATGCCTGTGCTGAGTTTGCCCTGCTTAGGTACCTGTGTTCCTTGTGCTCCAGCAGTTGGCAGTCTCGACATGTTAACCGATCGCAGGTCTCACAGAAAAGCTTGAGCTGCTCCTGCCTGTGGATGGGGCAGAAGAGCATTCGCTGGTTGGACACACTGACCGCCTCTGGGGAAACACAGTAAAAAGGGTGCAACATGGTTAACACTTTCCACTGACAACCCTGGGAACGTTAGCTGGACCAGAATTAAACCTCTGTGGTACACCTTTGCCTTTAACAGTACATGTAACGGGATGTCTCATTGCTCGGGGAAGGGGAAAGAGTGTGGTGCCTCACTTCTTTTCAGCTTTTTGGTTGAAACCACCATTTTTGCCTGGGGTCATTTGTGCCCAATACGGAGTTTTTCACATAAGCAGCTGCAAACCCAATCTAATTTCAATGGGATCCTAATGTGACAAACCCCAAGTCAACTAACCAATTTTTGTTTTTATTCATTTGTGGGAAGTGGGTGTCGTTGGCTAGGCCAGCATTTCTTGCCCATCCCTAGTTGCCCTTGAGAAGGTGGTGGTGATCTGCCTTATTGAACCACTGCAGTCCTCCTGCTGTGGGTTGACCCACAATGCCATGAAGGAGGGAATTCCAGGATTTTGATCCAGTGACAGTGAAGGAACGACGATATATTGCCAAGTCAGGACGGTGAGTGACTTAGGGGAGGAACTTGCAGGAGGTGGTGTTTCCATATAGCTGCTGCCCTTGTCCTTCTAGATGGAAGTGGTCGTGGGTTTGGAAGGTGCTGCCTGAGGATCTTTGGTGAATTTCTGCAGTGCATGTTGTAGACAGTACACACTGCTGCTACTGAGTGTCCCCTTGTTTGCGTCTTAGGTGACCTTTTGCTGCTTCAAGAGATAACCAGCTGAGACTGTTGGAAATTTTCCCTCAATGGACATTTCTGGAAAGCAGCCACTGAAAACAACTCAAACCCTCTCTTGGGTCCAATCCCAGTAGCGGTGATGAATAGGTGCCCCTGGGGAGTCCTGAGCTAGCTGTAGGAACCATTATCATTTCAGAGGTATCATGTGCTTAACCCTTGAAACATAAAGCTACTGAATCAGTGCCTACCATCCCTGTCAGGTTTCCTTTTGTTCCAGGTTGTATTCAGGTAACAGAGACCAACTCTACGTGACTAACCTGACCCTTTAGCATGAGGGTCAGACCCAATATATGGCCACATGATGCAGCAACATGGCACACTGGGCTAATTTACCAACATGAATGCTCCACCAGACTGGATTTTGTCCTCTCCCAATTCAAAGGCCAATCTGAGGCCCAATTCAAAAGAGGCCAGGAACTGGTGCTGCAGCGGATCTACAGCAGGGGGCTGGAGGTAAGCGGCACTCTGGCGAATTGTTTTAATGTTTACCTGGTGACACATCCTTCTTCTGCCTCACAGTGTGGTCTTTTGTAAACTTGACTCTCTGATGGGCCTCGATGCAGGTTTTACACAGCCACTCAAGACACTCCACACAGAAGCCACTGGCCTCGGCATTATCCTCGCAGCTCGTACACACCTGAGCGGAGGAAAGCAGCAGCGGTTATTGCTTTGGGGAGTGGCAGCAGATAAACCACTCCTCTGAGTGAAGGGAACTGAAGATCATCTTTCTTTAGGAGCAGACTTTGAAGGCCAACTGCAATATTTCCTGCATTACATCGCTCCTCAGACACGGACCGGGATGTTTCGTCCATTCAGAATTTCAAATCAGTCCTCTATCTCAACTCTATCTGCTCCACATAGATTTACATATTAATAAAAATCTCAATCTTAAAACCAACCCACAGTATTCAGTGTCTTTTGGGGGAAGGAGGAAACTGGATTTTTGCCAGGGTGATGACTATAGATACTGGACAGTACATGGGATATCATACTAAAAGTACACTAGATACAAAATATGCATATGCAAGTACAATAAGAATCAGCCTCTATTAAGTCTTTCTTAATCTTAGGACTCATAATTAATGGTAGGGCCCTGGATAGTGTTGTAGAACAGAGGGATTTAGTGGTTCATGTACATAATTCTTTGAAATTTGCATCACGTATGGACAGGGTGGTTAAGGCGGCATTTAGCACACTTGTCCTTTTGATTATATAAGTTGGGGAGTCATATTGAGGTTGCACCAGACATTGGTGAGGCCTCAACTGGAGTACTGTGTCCAATTCTGGTCACCCTGTTATAGGAAGGATATTAAGCTGGAGAGGGTTCAGAAGAGATTTACCAGGATGTTGCCGGGTATGGAATGTTTGAATTAAAAAGAAAGGCTGGATAGGCTGGGACTTTTTCCACTGAAGCATGGGAGGTTGAGAGGTGACATTATAGAGGTTTACAAAATGATGAGTGGAATAGATAGAGTTGATGGCAGGTGTTTTTTCCCTAGGGTGGGGGATTTCAAAATTAGGGAGCATATTTTTAAGGTGAGAGGAGAGAGATTTTAAAAAGACATGAGGGGCTTAAAGTTCTTGCAAAGATTTGTAGCTTGGATTGAGGGTGATTTGCTCACGAGCTGGCTGGTTATAGTTCAGACATTTCGTCATTATGCTAGGTAACATTATCAGTGCTGCCTCCGATGAAGCGATGTTATTCTAAGGCACTTAGTATTTATACGACCCAGTCTATTGGAGGTGTTTTGTGTCATTTCCTGTTCTTTTTTGCAAGAGTTTGTATATGGGGTTTAATTCCACATGTTTATTGATTGAAATATGGGTGGAAAATCAGGTCTCTAGGAATTCCCGCGCATGTCTGTGGTAGGCTTGGGCTGGGATGGTCACGTCGTCCCAGTTACGTTAATGGCCTTCGTTGTCCAGAGTGCACTGAAATGAGAGAAAGTTTGTCGTGTCGTTTTGCTGCGAGCTGGTGCTCACCTTTAACTGTCAACAAACAGATTAATGGCACACCTATGGGGTCACCCATCTCAGCACTTATTGCAGAGGCAGTCATGCAAAGACCGGAATGCACACCCCCCGCCCCCAAAACAGTGGATAGGATACATGGACGATACATTTGTCATCATTAAACGCACTAATTTAGAAGAGACACACCACCTAGTCAACAACATTTTCACCGGGATCAAATTCACAAGAGGAAAAGGAAAACGAAAACAACAATCAATTTCTGCTCCTAGACATCAGGGTAGAATGAATGACAAATGGGGAATTCCAGACCACAGGATACAGGAAGGCAACCCACACTGACCAAATCCTCAATGCCCACAGCAATCACCCCAACGTTCACAAACAAAGCTGTTTTAGGACACTATTCAAACAGGCTGCAACCCAATGGAACTTCACAAGGAGGAGGAAAAGCACCCATACAAGGTCTTCACTATCAATGGATACCCCACTAACTTCATCCGCAGATGTCTACCAGATAGACAACACCAAGAGGACACAATACGACGTAATACACTGGCCACACTACTGTGTATCAAGAATATATTGGAACTGACTACGAGACTCCCACAACCACTAGGAATCAGGATAGCACACAAACACACAGCCACACTATGACAAACACTCACAAGGACCAAAGACCCCATACCCATGGAATGCAGGATCAATGTGGTTTACAAAATACCGTGCAAGGTCTGCCAAAAACATTACATCAGCCTGACAGGAAGGAAACTAACCATCAGAATACACGAACACCAGCTAGCAGCAGAACGACAAGACAAACTTTCTCTCATTTCAGTGCACTTGGACAACGAAGGCCATCAATTTAACTGGGACAACTGACTATCCTAGCTCAAGCCAACCATTGACGCGCACAGGAATTCCTAGAGGCCTGGTTCTCCACCCATAATAAACATGTGGAATTAGACCCCATATACAATCCCTTGCTAAGAAGAACCGGAAATGACAAAACACCTCAACAGAAAGGATCATATAAATTCTAAGCGGAGTAGAACATTGCTTCATCAGAGGCAACACTGATGATGTTACCTAGAACGGTGATGAAATGTCTGTTAACTATATCAGCCAGCTCAGCAAGCAAATCAACAACCTCAGACATGAGGGGCAAATTTTTTTTTTTTTTTCAAACAAAGAGGGTGGTTCACATGTGGAATGAGCTTCCTGAGGAAACAGCGGATGTTGGGCACAATTACAACCTTCTGAAGACATTTCGATAAGTACATGAATGGGAAAGGTTTGGAGGGATATGGGCCAGGAGCAGGCAGGTGGGACGTGTTTAGTTTGGGATTACGATCAGCATGGACTGGTTGGACCGAAGGGTCGGTTTCTTGGCTGTACGATTCTATGACTGTATAAAAAGTTAAATCTGAGACTTAAATTGGTTCTTGCAGCGTGAGAACATGACCATTTCTAAACATCTGTGTAATCAAAGTGCTGTGTGACTTCATTTTGGCTGGCCTAGCTCTAATTTTAAGACCATGACTATGTTGGTTCTGGATCTCCCCGCCTGAGAAAATAATCTGGTAGCATCTACCATTCTGAAACCTTTTAAGAGTTTAAACAACTCAATCAGACCACCTCTCAAATGTGACCGAGACAGGTAGATCAAGCATTCAGAATATCCAGAAGAAACTGGATGCCTTGGGAAAGTTAATTGCGGTCAAAGCTGGCATTCTCATGATACATGTGGTTACATTCAACAATTCTAGTTACTGATCTGTGGAAAAGACAGGCATAAGGTTTACAATTTGCTGAGATCACGATGTGCAGAAGATCAAATGTCCTTACTATCTTAGCTCAGTCACACAGAAAAGAAACAAATTGCATTGTCCCCATTTCATAGCAACCAACTTCCTCAAAAGGACTTGAGGTTTTCACCTCTATTACCCTTACCAGCATTCCATTACATTCTCTTGTGAAGATGGTAAACCACATAGCAAAATCATTTCCCTTGACCACGGGGAGAGATTCTGATCGGAATTAACCCAGTAAATGAGGCATGAGAAATTCCAATGGGACAGCGTGTTACCCAACTGTTGGAAAGTCTCGAATGATAGGACAAAAGGTTTCCCAAATACCAGACGTGTATTTATATAGCGCCTTTCACAGCCACGGGGCATCCCAAAAAGATTTGCAGCCAGGGAAGTGCTGAAACGTAGGAAGAAACACTAGCAGCAATTTGTGCAGGGAAATTCTACAGCACAACATGAAAATAAACAAATAATGTGTTTTGGTTGGAGAAGTATCAACAGGAAATCAGTTCTCTCTCTCTCACACACACACACACACACACACACTCACACACACACACACAGAGACGCAATACCTTTCTCTTTCTAGATCACCCTGTATCTATTAATACAGACACGGACAAAATCTCCAATCAGAACTGGTAACACTGCAAAGACAGAGTAGCTCAGATGTCCAAAAAGATGAATATTGACAGATTAATGATTCAAGCAGCATCTTTTGGCAGTGCTGGAAGACTCACTTTCAAATCACGTGACCAGAGACACATTCCCCAAGAGCTGCCATTTCGAATTTTTAAAACAGTTTATAGTTCAGAGTGTTCCATCCAGCAAACGTAGGTCATCCTAGTGATAGCCCTGTGTCCTGTTGGAGATCTTGATCCCCTACAGCCTCAGCACCCATCCAACTTCCGCCACCTCTGCTTTTGGAGTCAGAGCAATGTATGCTCGGATGAAGGTTGATCAGGAAGCACCTGCCAGACAGAGGTGTGTCCATATAAAGAAAGACTGGGACCTGAACACTGCTTTTACACTGGGCCAGTATGTCCCAGAGTGCTACAGCAGGCAATGAAGTGCAGTCGCTGTTGCAGTGGAAGAAACGTGACAATCCCTTATGCACAGCAAGATCCCAAAAGACACATTCAGAAATGATCAAATAATTTGTTTCAGGCTTCATTTGAGGGGTTAAAGAAATTTAGGACGGGGCGCCATGGAAAGTTTCCCTTCTCTTTGTGGCATCTTTCATATCCACCTTCAACGCTGCATCCAGTAGACAGCACATCCAACACTGCGATACTCCCTCACCACTGCATATGGGAGTTTCTGCCTACATCCAGGGCCTGTGCCTGGAGTTGGGATTCGCGGGTTATTCCTTCCCTAAAGGCCGCATAAAGGGGCTCACTTAGAACATTTAAAAAAAGGGCACGAGCAGGCCATTCAGCCCCTCGAGCCCACTCTGTAATTCAATAAGATCGCAGCTGATCTTTTCATGGACTCAGCTCCACGTACCTGCCCACTCACCATAACCCTTAACTCCTGTACTGCTCAAAAACCTATCTTTGCCTTAAAAAAAATCAAACGAGTTAGCCTCGACTGCTTCGCTGGGCAGGAAATTCCACAGATTCACAGAGTTGGGTGATGAAGTTCCTCCTCAACTCAGTCCTAAATCTGCCTCTCTTTATTTTGCACGGCATCTTCCGTGGATATGCCCTAAATGCCATTTGGCCAAGTCTTACTGGCAGCACTCAGAGCCTGGCTCATAGGCCTCGTTGCCCCATAGCTGCAACAGCAGCAGCTCGGTTTATGACAGATGTCTCCGGTCTGTGTACTCCCCTCGAGTTTCTGCCTGTGATTTGGAATTGGCCCAGCAACGGAGTCTTCACCAGTCGGCTGCCACCTCCTACTCACCAGCTGACAACGTGGCAAATTTGGTGGAAGACCCTGCACAGCAAAACAATTGAAGGCCTGCAAAATTCTAAACCAACAAAAAAATAACAGAGTTACAGCCTTTGAACAAGTTTTGGGATGAACCGTTGCCAGTCGCTGGGATGAAGCAGGTTGCAAGGTTACCTGGAATTGACCAAATCCAGAGAAAAGAGTTGGCATGCTGATGTGGCAAAAAGGAATTGGAGGCATTTTTGATGAAAAATAAAAGCCTCTATTCTCTTCAAGACAAAAATGACACTCATCCACGTTGAGCAAACGTCTTGCTGAGAATCAACTTCCCTTTCATACGGCCTGTGTTAGTATCAGATTTTGCCAACCTACAGCTTGGAACCAAAGATTAGATGCCAAGCAACATCTCCCCCACCTTGTCGTTACAAATCAAACTCAAATGCAGAAAACTGCCTCAGGCTGCGCCAGTCTGACGTTTTTCCGTTACTCACCTCTGCCGTCCTGTGGTCTCTCTTTAAGGAGATGGCCAATGGATGACGAATAAGGGTCACTCTCGTTCCGCAGCCATGACCACTTGACCAGGCTGAGACTGACCAGACCCATTTCACACACTTCGAGCCAACAAACAGAGGCAACTTCCATCCCACCAGTCAGGCTGGAATTGAGCCAGAAATGAAAAGGTTAATATCTAACCCACTCCGAACGGTCAGTTCCTTCCTCATGTTTCTTTTCATTACCTACACGTATAAAGGGCAGCTTTAACTTTGGGTTAAATGTGCTGTGGGTTCAGGGTCACTGGACTGAGTGTGAATTTACCTTCGATCAGCAAAGCTAGAAAGCATTGAGTCTCCTAGTCCACAGTCAGCATTATTGTACCAATACCTGAAATCATTTAAACAATCAACACAAGAGGCCATTCGGGCCATTCCAGCAGTGATGCAGGAGATATCCAATTGGGAAGGTGATTACCCTGTCTGCCCTTAAAGCCCTGCAAATTGTTTTTGATTATATAGATTCCCTACTGAAAGGGATTACTGAATCAATTCCACGACCTCTTCAAGCCACATTCTCTTAGCTCCTCCTTTGCTTGATGATCTCAAAGATGGGATCTCTGGTTACTGATATGCATTAACTGATTTAGTGCCAATCACAGGTAGAAGCAGTTCCCAATACCACGTGGGTGCTGCCCACTCAGGCCGTACATCAAGCTGGGTCACCTTTAGTCAACTGTAAACAGGTACGTTGAGAGGCCAGATAGACGTCTTCAAAACACTGCCCTGCAGGACAGCTCAGAATTCAATGTGTAAAGCAACTGCGTTTCCTCCTTTACTCACCACCTGAATCTGAACTGGGAAGGCGGGGAGGATGTGGCTGGATAAAAACTGAAAGGTCATTCAGTTGGATGAGGAAGAACCACAGTGATTTGGGAAAACATTCATCCCCTTCCTGCTTACTCAGACATTTGATTAAATCAAGGCCGCCCTGTGCTCTAGCTCTAGCTTTAAATTCATAGCTATCACTAGCCCACAAAAATCTCAATCTTGTCTCGAAACCAATTAGCTTGGTTTTTTGTGTGTGTTCTGGCTTCCATCATGCTTTCTCTACTCCCTTCTCCTCTCCAAAGAATTTGTTAGCATTTCCCTATTTGTCTCTGAACAGGCCAACTCTTAATCTTAAAGAAAAGCTAGGTGGTTCTGGAACTTTTGACTTGGAACACCATACAGGACAGTCTGACTCGACTGGTTCGCAGCCTGTGTGGAGCTGGGCTTCTGAAATGCACAGGTTGGACCACTCCTCCAATGCAAGAGTCACAGCACAGACATCAGTTTTGCCATCAATGGAAGTTGGCAACACGTTGAAACTTTTGGGGCTTCTATACCAAGCAGAAGAGAAAAGACCCAACTGTCAGCAGTCTCAACACCTCTTTGGGACATGGTGTGAAGCTCCATCTGATAATGCTCTGATAAAACACCAGGCAGTGTTCTGCAAACGTTGCTTTATAAATGCAAGTTGTTTGCTGCATTCTATTACACAGCAACTGCTCTGCCCAGGACCGTAAGACACTACAGACTGTTGTGAACACAGCCCAGTCCATCACACAAGCCAACCTTCCATCCATTGACTCCACCTACACTTCCTGTTACCGCAAAAAGACCTGGCCCACCCCGATTATAATCTCTTCCAACCTCTTCTGTTGGGCAGAAGATACAAAAGCTAAAACGTATGTACCAACAAAAGATTAGCTTCTTCCTCGCTGTTATTAGACTTCTGAATGGACCTCTCAAATTTTAAATTTTAGTGTTGATCTTGCTGTCTGTGCACCTTCTCTGCAGCCATAACATTGCACTCCTCACTCTGTTCTATTTTGTATAAAGTATGATCTGCCTGTATTGCATGCAAAACCAAACTTCTCACTGTACCTAGGTACATGTGACAATAATAAATCAAATCAAGCACTGTGTCCTACCACCACTTACCTGGCCTAGCTTTGAAAAACCTCATCTCCTGCTCATTTCCTAAATCATGACTCAATCGCATTTATTCTCCTACTATACAAAGACCAGGCCACACAATTCAATTTGTTTATTCATAGATAACAAGGTGTAGAGCTGGATGAACACGGCAGATCAGGCAGCATCAGAGGAGCAGGAAAGTTGACATTTCGGGTCGGGACCGTTCTTCAGAAAA